AATCCAGGGGGCAAGGATTAAAACACCTTAAAAAAAAAAAAATACTAGCTTTTATAACATTACATTAGGTCCTTTTACCCCTAATCATAGACTACTCAATTAATATTTACTATATGAGTCAAATGCAAGACACCATACAACATACTAATTAGTAGGTCTACAATAATCTAAGGACAACTTGAATAATATTCAAATACCCTCTAAACTTATAAAATGATGTCACTATAATTACTTATCACCTTTTCTTTAACTTTCAACTTAAAGTAATGTAGTAATAAATACATATTTGCAGTTAGACTACCAAAATTTTGCAATCATATTTTTTAATGCTATGTAAGGGATGCTCTTCTCTTGAATAATGTTTTAAAGACACTTGTCTGAAGCAAATGCAATTGGAATTATAAATGATTTGACAGTTCTCTCTATAGAAAGAAAGAATAGTACCATTAGAATCATCTCTGCACACTTTCAAACATTTCACATGAAAATTAGATGGATATACCATAGAAAACAGGGATTGTTATTGCTACAGTTTTAGACAGCCTACTACATGTATGCCTTAAGTTACTTCATCTTAACTAGCATTCTTCAACTTTTATTGAGACAAATACCTTCAATTCCAACTGACGAACCCAAACAATATTATTGACAACCTCTGAAAGATTTTTGCCTGAAAGTGGTCCAGATGCATCACCAGGAACTCCTCGACACCGATTCTCAAAGTCTAATCGAAAATCTATAAAAATTAAATCAAATGAATGATTACACAAGCTTAACAAATATTTCCTAAATATTTCCAATGTACCAAGCACTATGTCAAACATTGTGTATAGAAAACAGTAAGAGTTGGTCCTTACACTCAAGGACCCTATCATGAATCAAGTGTAATCAACAGAAAAAGAAAATAACCTGTTAATTCAAAAAATCTGTTACTTATAACAGAAATTAATAAATTAATCTTCAGCATAAATAAAAATGTTCAGAATAGATAGTGTTAATCCTAAATGGTATACAATAAAGAAAAATGTAGTCTACAAAAATATGTTTTCAAGCAAACACTATAATCTATGGAAAACCTTTACCTTTAACCGAGTCCACAAGTCTTGCCAATAAAGTTTCTCTTTCCAACATCAATTCTTTGCTTATAGTTGGACGCTTCACCAACTCTTTATATTTCAGAAAAGCTTGAAGAAGCTAACAAAACAAAGTAAGTGTATGTTCATCCCCATTGATCAACTTAGTAAATGCACATATCTACTAAAATGGCTTAAGGAAAACATTAAAAGTAAAATATTTCAACATTTTACCTGCTGTGGGCTATCTTGAATTTCTGAAATATAATTTTTCAATTTTCCTGCTATTTTTTGTTCTGCAGGTGCAATAATTTTTTCATATTGAGACACTGCAGCTTTCCATAAAGGCTAAACAAATTAACAATATTGTTAAATTTAATATTTTAAAAATCAACCTTTAAAAAGAACAAAAACCGAAAATTATATACATATAAACATATACATATATATATAAAATCAACCTCAGTATATGGATTATATTGCACAGGATTCAGGCCAGTGAAAGGTTCAAATACTCGAGACAGGCATACAATTTTCTCTTCACTGGCAGGTAAAAAATAGAGAAGCTTCTCATGAATTGTTCTAACAGCCAAGACCTAAAACATAAAATATTAAAACAACAAAATTTACTTAAATCAAAAAAAAACTGTATAAATATGTGTAAAATCTAAATATATCAGGCAATATTTCTTTAAAATAGGTTCTCTGAAATGAACGAATCTGAAACCATAATCCTGAGAATTACAACTCATCAATATCAAAGTGATGCTCAAAGACATAATTACAGCATCATACAAACATCAATCAAAGTGCTCAAGTTTGGAGAAAATGTATAAGATCTAGATATTTATAAACTCTGTTTAAGGCTCATTTAAGTGAACTTTTAAGAATCTGTTCTGAAAATAGTAGCAACTTCTAATTTTCATTATTCTGCAACAAACTGCACTTCTAATTATGAAATCAGTGTTACCAACCTTACTATTTATAGTTAACACATAGATGAAAAACAAATATTGTTGTATTTTGAGTTTAAAATATCTGCTAACAATCAAAAAGATTAATTAAAACACTAAAATATTCCATTTGAGTTGGAAATGAGCATAGACTCAAATGTATTTTTTTTTGCTTAAAAAAATCTTCAACAATTCTGTCTACATAGCCTAAAAGCAATAATAACTAAGTAACAGCACTTCCCCAATCGGATCATTGCTAAATATCATTTCCTAGTAAAAAGAACCAGTCTTCTTGGAAAAATGGCTAATTAATTGCAGATGTAATACAGAAAATATACAAAATGGGCTGGGCTGGAACATTTTCAGGGCCTTGAAGTTATGAATGAAATAGCAGAGCCACAGAAGCCAACTTGAAAGGGGCACTCATTGCCCAAATTAAGGGGTACTTACTGCCCAAAGATGGAATAATTTGGGAATAATTAGTGTTCTGAAACAATAAAATATTAAAAATCCATGAGTTCATGATACTACCAAAACAATTTCTTTGCTCCTATGAAACTTACCATGACACTAACCTACTACTCAATGTTTGAAAGAATGATAAATAAAAAGAAGCAAATGTCTATCCTTCCATTGCTATGCAAACTATATTTCAGGGAACTAAAAAGTTGATGGGGAAAATTCTACTTTACAGAAAAATAATAATCACTAGAAATTGCAGAAAGAGCCAGGCAAAGTGGCACATGCCTGTAATCCCAGTGACTTGAGAGGCTGAGACAGGACAACCACAAGTTCAAAACCAGACTCAGCAACTAAGCAAGGCCCTAAGTAACTCAGTGAGACCCTGTCTCTAAATAAAATATAGAAAAGTTCTGGGGATGTGACTAAGTAGTTAAGCACCCCTGGGTTCAATCCCCAGTACCAAAAAAAAAAAAAGAAGAAGAAGAAGAAGAAATAAGAAGGACGAAAAAGGAGGAGGAGGAGGAGGAGAGAGAGGAAGAAAGGAAGGAAGGAAGGGCAAAAAGAATGACTGATATAGAAAACAGCCATTTTACAACACTTCATAATTACCAAAGGATGCTAAAAACATTAAGAAGTTGATGCAGAGGATTGTAATCCATGAGGCAGATCATACCTGAACCCACAGAGTAAACTCAACCTCACTAAAAATAGAAAATCCAGACACTACATGCCTCTGGATGGAATTCATAAAAACTATACAGAACTACCTTTGAAATACTCTTGAAAAAAAATCTTTAATCAAGGCTCTTTTTTTGGTGGGGAGGGGGAGTGCTGGGGAGTGAACCTAATCAAGCCTTTATAGCTAACTTATTAGTTAGAAAAATGGGAGAATCAGAAACATGATAAATAGCACAATATAAAAACACAAATCCTAAAGATGGGAGTACTATATTGCATAACAAAACACATAGGAAAAACTATAATAAATTAAAAGAAACTCAGCACAGGTGTGCAATACATGGAGCTTGTTTTTAACCTGATTTAAATAAACCAATTATTAAAAAAAAAAAAAAAAAACAATTTCTGAGCTGAGTGCAGTGGCACCCTACTATAATCCCAGCAGCTCAAGAGGCTAAGATAGGAGGATCGAAAGTTCAAAGCCAGCCTCAGCAAAATCAAGCCATTTAAGCAACTAGTGAGACCCTGTCTGTAAATAAAATGCAAAATAGGGCTGGGGATGTGGCTCAGTGGTTGAGTGCCCCTGAGTTCATTCAATCCCCAATATCCAAAATAAAACAAAATTCTGAAACAATCAGGATAAATGAACAATGACTAAATATGAAATTATATTAAGAAATTACTGTCACTTTGTTGGGTGGAATAATGGTAATTGTGCTTTATCTTATGATAGTAACATATATTTTAGCTTTAAAATATTCCAGCATAAAAAAGGGAGGTGCACACAGAAAGCAAGACAAAGATGAGATAAAGAGTGAATAATGTCAGTAATTATTCTGAGTAACTGACACCTAAGCATTCATTACACTATTTTACCTTTGTGTATGTTTAAATTATTCCAAAATGAAAACATTTAAAAAATGAACAAAGAACTATGATTTCCCGAAACAAGAGGGGGGTGAAGTCAGCCTTACAATATTCAGATAATTTCATTTTGCCTGTCCCTTGAAGGTACATAGGTAAATTCTATACTGAAACTCATAACTTATGTAATTGGCAGCTGTTGCAAACTAGAGTACCACCTATTAAAAAGGTCCATATATAAAAATAATTGCAATAGCAAAGACAATGTCTGAGAGCTTCCACAGAAAGAGAAGGGGATTATTTTCTTTACAACAAAGAACAAAATAGAATTTCACGACTAGCAATGTTCACTTGTCACACACACCCCAAAAAAAGAAAGACGTAAACTAGCACTTAGTGCCTACTGTGCACCTAATACTATGCCGTAAATTATCCCACATGAACTTTAACTCCTATCCTTTCTCAAAACTATAAATAATTTCTATCAGAGGTATAGTACTTATTAAATATAAAATACATTCACAAACAAGTAAAGACCCACTTCGTTCTTAAAGACAAAGAAACATATAATCAAATAGATACCTCTTCAAGGCGTTTGCCAAGTTTATCAAGTGTTTCTGGGAAATATTTTTCATTTTTCCATGGATGAGGAACAAAGCGCTGCCAAACCTGACCTGTTAGATGATTACAGACTATCACCCATTGTTCACAAATTGAAATACCAGCTTTCAGATTTTCTTTCACAAGATAATAAGGATCTTCCCATAGGTTCAAAGTTCCCAGCTTTTTCTGAACAAACCTTCCAAATGAACCACCTAGTAAAACATAAATCAAAATTTTAATGGAAATAAAATGCATGCTTATGACAAAATTTTAAAATTACACAAATTAACAAAGACTTTATGAAAACCACAAGAACACCCTTATACTAACACTGTCAATAACATATTGTCTAAAACACACACACATCAGTTTGCATTTCTGCATCTTTCAATGTATTGTGTACACCTTCCAAGTGCAGAGATGTATATTCAGTTTTTGCAAGGCTGCAGAGCTTACTGTATGGAAATAGTATTATATAAATAACTCCCAATTGCTATTTTCCTACTCATATTACAAATAGTATTGCAATAAATATTTTTGTACATTCACCTTTAATGTACTTATCTGTTATTCCTTAGTATAATAATAAAAAGGATTTTTTTCTAGGTCAAAAATTTAACATTGACATATAAATCAATATATTTTTACTATTTTTTCAGTTCAGTTGAAAATGTAGAATATAAATGCATAAATATTGAAGATCTATATAATTTAGTTCTATTAATGGTCAATGAATTTGACAAAAGATTTAAGTTACCAGCAATATACAAACATCTATGTAATTCTAAATGATTTGCTTTAAGAATTACTTTAAGTAGCAATTATTATATTACATTAGGAACATTTTTAAGTTGGAGTTTAAAGGAAAAAAAGAAAATAAGACAAGCTTCCAAAAGTTCATTTCTTTACTAATACCTATGATATCTAAAAGATGTAACATTCGTGACTCAGGATAAGGATCGTGTTCTGTTTGTCTCCACACATCATCTACAACATCACGAGTTGTCTCCACCAAGTCAACAACTTCCAGTAACGATAGATTGTCCAAGTTATAAAACTCCTAAAACAAAAATGTGGGAATTTTTTTAACATAATCATATCTGTAACTTGAGTAATACAGTCAAATGATCCCAGACTTTTTTTCAACTGCTAAAACTCGGATATTTGTCATAGGGTTTTCTCATTTTCTACCATGATAATTACTTATTTATGGAAATACCCTCCATATACATAAATTTTATGAAAGCCAAAAGATAAAATAATAAAGTCTAGTCACTATTTATACCCTTGACCTAATTTTTTTTTAATTTAGATTCATTTACTTATATTCCCAGTTCACATAGCCTTACTTTCACATGCACACTACCCATTGTAGTTCACATTTTTACTGTTATTTTTTATGTTGCATAATATTGTGGTTAACAATACAAAAATGGTATAATATTTATCATTCTATATTTTATCATTGTTTCAAAAAAAAAGCTTAAAATTATTTCAAACAGACCACCAAGATGATATTATTGAAATAACAGTGGAACAAGTAGAAAATCGCTATAAAAATTTGTTTTCAAAATACACTTTTTGCAGTCAAAATTATTTATTTAATCTCTATGAAGATACATCAAGGAATAATCAATCAAATAAGCATAAAACTAAGATATTTATCATAATTCAGGTCATTTTGAAATGTTAATTTGAGTAAAGTGAATATTATTTCAAAAGAATATATCACCTCTGCACATAAACCTCTGAACTATATTAAGTTTTTGTTTCATGCTAAGTACCTGTAGGAAAGTAATTTTGTGTTTGAGAAGATATTTCTAGAGATAAGAATTTAACTTTTTTTGTTTTATATGATTTGTATTTCTAAGTTTTCCTCATTTTAAATACACCTCAAGTAAACTTTGTTATGTGTGAAGTATACATTTTATTCACAATCATCAAGGAGATTTTAAAACAGAAAAATAGTAAGAACTCAATCCTAAAATACTTTTATAAGAAGCCTGATATATAACTATGTATGAATCACGTACTCTTGCAATTGATTCAAATAATTCTTTAAAATAATTGGCTCTTTCTTTACTAATTTGTTTATTTCCACGATGAGCTTGTTCTATCCAAAACTGGAACTCATCACTTGGTGTAAGAATACCTATGAAAGTAAAGAAGGAAAAAGAAAGAAATTTTCAATGGAAAATGAAAATCCAGAAAATTATTTGATTCATTTGCTAATTTTGGTTATATCTAGATACATGCACATTTCCTATACGCTTGAAAATATACAAATTCTATCAGATAATAGTAGATAAATCCATTTAGAACCCAAATTTGCATGTCACATAACATTTGTTGAGTTTGTTGCTCGGAATGATTCCTGCACACTTTTGTAAACCATTCCTATCTATACAAACATTCTGCATCTTGTGTCAATGAGCTTGCTTCTCCAATGCATATTCCTAAATCTAATTCCAATACCATTCACACTCTTAAATTCCATCCAAATGAAAATAATTAAAATTTAATTAATAACTGTTTTTAATTTAATTTCAAAATATAAACAAAATAGTGTTATTTGAATTTTGACTTTAAATTTTCCAATGAACTGAATAATTTTTACTTTTCTAACCTGAAGCTGGAAGTAAATGCACTATCCTATCTGAGACTTTGAGTTTTCAAAAGCATATAGTTTATTGTACAAGCAAAATTTAAAACTGCTCCCCATATTTTAAAATAATTATTTGTATATTATGAATTTAATATTAATTGTTCATATGAATAGTAATTTATCTATAGCCACAATGAAATGACAATTAGATACCCTCAGATAAAATACATTTTAAAATAAAAGTTGAAGGTAGGTCTAATGCAAGGTATACAATTAGTTGGTACTCATTATTTGCATATTATATATTACAGAAGCAAAAATTTGCCTCCTGACATACCTGTTCCCAGCTGAGGTCAAACAATGTAACAGTCTACCTTCTTGCTTCCCATCTCATTCTATAAACAAATGTCCTTTTTGCAGACTATTTAACACCATATTTTTTAGATTTTTAAGATTTTGCTGATTTCATGGCTTAAAATGATCCCCAAGCATAGTGCTAAAATTCTGTCCAGTATTCCCAACCACAAGAAAGTTGTGAGGTTCCTTACAGAAAAAATATTTGTGTTAGTAAGCTTCCTTCAGGCATCTATTATAATGTTGGTCATATATATGAAAGTGTCTTCATATAGAAACACATAAAAAATAAGGTTAAATATTGCTGGACACAGAGGCACACACTTGTAATCCCAGCAACTTGGAAGACTGACACAGGAAGACCGCAAGTTCAAAGCCAGCCTCAGCAACTTAGTGAGGCCCTAAAGCAACTTAGCAAGATCCTGTCTCAATACAAAAATTTAAAAAATGGCTGGGAATGTGGCTCAGTGGTTAAGCATCCGTGGGTTAAATACCTAGTACCAAAAACAAAACAAAACCAAGAACAAGGTTAGGTATTGATCAGATGACAAACTGTTGTGACAAAAGGCCTGAAGGAACTTTATCCTCTATTTTCCCTGGAAGCAATGGCTCAGAATTCACTAATTCAGTCTTCACTGTGACTTTATAAGACATAACTACTGCAAATAATGAGAATCAACCATATTTTCTATTTTCATAAATTGCATATTGTTAAGAAATATACTTCTGTCTTCTCCACATCCATATAAATCTTTTTATTTAAATAAAGTTTATGCTAAGAGAAATTACAAAAACATGAAAAACAATCTGTGAAGAAATATGTTCATTTAGCAATGTACTAACAAAATAACCATTTTGCCCTTTCTTTGAGTAAACAGAGATGATTATATCATAGTTACTTTGATAAATAATTTATGAACATAAAACATTATATATTGTTATATACCTCTTGTATCATCTTCCTTAAGTTTCAATTTTGATAAGTCTGATCTCCGTAGAACTACACCCAACCCAGCTTCTAGTTCACTCAAAAGATTCTGAAGTTTGGGATCAAAGTTTCTGCTCCATTCCTGATCCTATAGAAAAATATATAAGAGCAACCATTGATCAAGTATTCCCAATCACATTGGCTTCCTGAAACAGAGTCTTTATTTGTCAACAAAGTTTACTTTAAAATTATAATTTAAGAAAAGATAGTTTAGCCCTAAATTTGATCTCCAGCACAGCAAAAGAAAGACTTCAATTTTAAAACTAAAATATTAACTACATTAATAGAAAATTAAATAAATGCTTGTGTTTACATACACATTTACCCAAATACATAAGTAAAAAACAATAAATAAATAGTTACATAGCTACTTTACTCACCTTTAACAACACTGGTGCAAATACATGCCGTACTGCTTGGTATAGGGAATTAATAGGAGACTCCAACATAGATGAAACAAGAATGTTAGTATGTAGATTCTCATCTGTAATTACTTCAGGTCGCAGCTTGAAAAAAACCAGCACCTTATCTTTTGTGTCACCAAAATCAATCTAAAGTGATAAACAATTGTTAAATGTTATCATCATAAAATTCAATATTTGAAAGAAATGTTGCTCTAAAATATTCTACCACATGAAAAAATAGTTACTGTAAAAATAAATATACTAAACCAATCTATTTCTGCTCCTTAAGAATACCTGAGTTTAAAAATGGATCTCCACTTACATGTGATTATATTATAAAGCTGTTATAATAGGTTGACACTATATATTGTTGACTTACACTACTAACTATTCTACTCCAGCCAGACTCAAGAATACTAAAGATCAAAGTTGGATGCCCAGGGTACACAATGATGAGTAGTGTACTTCTCTACCATCACGATAAAGTCTGTAACAGAAATGTTCATGATCTTGTCACCTGGAAAAAGCAATTTTAAAGTTTCTTTTGAAATTATATTTAATATATGATTTAATATATATAATATAACATGTACTCAAAATTGCCAAAATAAACTTATTTATCTCCTAAAATCATCTTTGCTTTAACTAAAATATTTTCCTTAAAGAGTTTGAGCATCACACTTTTTTATTAAACTGTCATATAGTTAAGGTTATTTAAAATTGGAACCAGGTGAGTTTAATCAAAATTCACTAAAGCAATCTTATTTAAAATAGGACAGTTTATAGTAATTAGTTCATTAGCCAGGAAGAGTTTTGCCAACTCAAAAGAAGTTTTGGCATTAGATACATATTTTCAGAGTTATTCTCATTTCTTTTTCTAGGAAGAGAAGTCTATGCACTAAAAAGCTTTCAAACAAGGTTAGTGTTGTATATAAAAATTAATTTATAGATAAATTAATTTCATGCCATTTTTACCTTAATTATTACAATTTTTAATCACTGGAAAGGAACTGACATTTTACTTGTATTAATATATTTCTCAAACTCTCTTCTCTCTTGACACATGAAAATTATGTGAATTTCAAATATCAATCAGTGTTCATAAAGTTTTATTAGAAAATAGTCATACTCATTCATTTACATTGCTTACTACACAGTTTATTACATGACTGTTTTCACACTATAATGGTCGAGTCATAGTTGGAAGAAAGAACTTATAGCCTACTAAGCCTAAAATATTATCTAACCCAATACAGTAAGTTTACCATCCATGTCCTATCTCACACACTGCCCTTTAAGTGATAACTTCAACTTTCCAAATTCCAACCTAAGTCTAATGTATACATGAGACTTAAGCCATCACCATGGATTTTCTTTTTTTTTTTTTTTCTGCCCCTTGAAACCAAGCTGAGACCCAACTCAAGGCTTTGGTATTTACAGGTTTTTTTGGTTTTTTGTTTTTTTAACTTAGAACACTTTTCCCACAGAACTTACACCTGTCTACAACTCATCAAATATCACTTTAAAAGTCACTTATTCAGAGAGGTATTTCCTTCTACTTTATTTTAATGCAGTTCCCTGCCCCTCCCCCATCACTATTAAAATATCATTTTTATCTTAACAGAATGTATTAATGTATTAATAATAAAAATAACATTACATCACATATCTGTGTATTTAACCCATGGTTCATTCCAGTGTTACTCCTTGAAGTCATGACTCTGTGTTCATGGCTTTATCCCTAACACCTAAGGCTGTGTCAGACCTTGAGAAGGCACTCAATAAATATTTGTTGACATTAACTTATTACATCATGCTAATTCTCACACATAACAAAATATTCTCAAATATGACTAAAAACTGTAGTATGGTATATGACTAAAAATAGCAAGATACACTGCTAAGTTCTACCTGTATAAGCTAACTTAAAAAGTGATAGCTTCAACTTTCAAATCCCAAGACAAGATACATTTTCACAAACTGAAAATCTTCCCATCTTTCCCACTGCATTCCATCTGAATCTTAAAAGGCATTTACAAGAGTTGCCATGGTTTTATAATTTACTAAATACATGTTATCCTAAACCAATAGAGCGAGGCTCTGGGAGGCAGAAGCAGTGACCCTATTCTGAATTGTAGTATTAGAGAAGCAGAACAGTTAACACTTGGGATACAACCTTTGTGCCTTGCTTTCCTCAGTCATAATATAAGAATAGTTCCAATCTTATTGTCTTGTGGAGAATAAATGCAATAATACATATGAAATGCTTACAATGCCTGACGAAGAGTAAAGTGAAAATAAACATTAGTTACAATTATCTATCCTTTTTATATATTTTGTAAATCCACCAGGCCCGGCAAAACACCTTGCATATTTTAAGTTCAAAACAAATGTTTATTGAATAGAATTAAACTCAAGAATAAGATTCATAGTGAATATAGTGAATGATTCAATCAATATTTGCTGAGTGTCAAATATTCTGTTAGACCTAACGATAAGATTGAACACAAAAGGAAGGGGTTGAAAATATGTCTATGTTTTGTCAATTTGCATCTATTTGCTTAACCCCTTTCATTTTGTCAGGCAATTATCTTACATTTTTATTGGAGGTTTATGAGTTCTGATTACAAATGTAACCATTTTTAAGCAATCCTGCCAGCAGAGGGAGCAGGGCAAAAAGTAAATCAAAACCATGTGTACATCAAAAAACAAATTTAAACTTTATCTTGGAATATATCAAATCATATTTCAAAGATTAATTCCTAACTAATTTTTCCCTCAGGCAGTGCTAACTAAGGTCAGTGCACAAATAGAAAAAAAAAAAACAGAATTTGCCTCAAAGGGGAAAACGGAAAAAAGGGAGGAGAAACACAAATCAAAATAAATAATGTTCTGTTCTTCCAGAGAGAGAGAGAGAGACAGAAAGAGATAGAGAAAGAAAAAGAGAGAGAGAGAGAGAGAGAGAGAGAGAGAGAGATAGGTACTGTGTCCAACTACAACTAAAAAAAAAAAAAAATACTTAAAAAAAATAGAAAAAGCTGGAAGCCTCTAATCCTAACAGCTCAGAAGGCTGAGGCAGGAGGATGAAAAGTTCAAAGCCAGCCTCAGAAACTTATCCAGATCCCGTCTCAAAAAATAATGAGAATGTGGCTCAGCGGTTAAAGCTCCTGAATTCAATCCCTTTACCAAAACATAAATAATTTAAAATGAAATTTAGGAAGAGAGAATCAGGAGGGCAGTGAGAGGCTGCAGTCCCAGCTACTTTCAAGGATGAGACTGGAGGAATGCAAATTCCAGACAAACCTCAGCAACTGGGTAAAGGGCATGTCAAAAACAAAAGAGAGAGAGAAAGAAAGGAAGGAAACACACACACACACACACACACACACTATATATATATATATATATATATAAAATTCTTTCTAGCCTGGCGCAGTGGCACGCGCCTATCATCCTAGAGGCTCCGAGGCTGAAGCAGGAGGATCCTGAGTTCAAAGCAAGTCTCAGCAACTTGGTGAGACCCTGTCTCAAAAATAGAAAATAAAAAGGGGTGCGGATGTGGCTCCGTGGTTAAGGGCCACTGGGTCCAACCCCTGGTACAAAATAAATATTTTTTTTAATATATCTAATTATTTCTATTCAGCTGTGTGGACAGGGAACCGCCTTCTGTCAGGCGGGATGCAGGATTGGAAACTACCTGCATGAAGTACTAAGTACCGGGCCAAAGTGGCTAATTCCAAGGCTAGGCAGGCGGAGACAGACTTGGGCTCCAGACGAGGATCTGTGAGTAGGGCTGACGAGCGGTCGACCATCCATCCCTCTGGTGGAGCCCGGGTACGTAAAGGGAGGTTAGGCAGGGGTGCAAGGAGCCCGTACCGTGTTGGAAAAGGAGAATCCGGCATCGGACCGCTGCACCCTGAGGAGCATCTGGTTTCCATCATCCAAGAAGTTGTTGATTTCAAGACAGTTGGACAGCAATGGCTGGTCCCAGGATTCCAACACCAGCCCGAAGTAATTCTGGGTAGTAGTGAAAATGAAGAGCTTCCGAACGTCCGGAATCCCGGCCGCCATGATTTTGGATAGAGGGACAGGGAAGAGGGCTGGCGGGAAAGGGAAGGAACAAGAAACCAGGCCGGAGGGAAAGGGAAGGGAAGAGCAGAGCTCTGCTCAAAACTCAGAGTGGGCCCGCGGATCTCAGAGCTTCGCGGTTGCCGAGGCGGTCGCTATGGCGACGGAGCGCTACGGCGGCACGCAGCGGACGTTTTTGTGTCGGTCGCACGCACGCAAAGCTCTTAGAGGTGATCGACTATTTCCAAGCTCCTTAGCTGATCCTGGTGATAATGGATTATAAAAGATTCCGGCAAGTTTGTATTGACTGAAAAATACCTTTTATTCTTCCTACCGATTTCTTATAATGCACAATCAGAAGAGGTACATGTAGCCTGAATGTGCAGCAGCGTAACCTGGATTTAAGAGCTGGATTCTAGTGCTCCCTTTCCATGTGCATCCATTAGCAAACCACTGTCCCCTCATTTCCATCTATGTAAAATGAAGAAATACTATCTTTCAACCAAGTGAGGATTTTAAAAGATCATTATTTAAAAATCACTTTTTAGAGAGGGTGATAATGAAAGGTCAAAACAATGTTAATGTCTGTGCTAGTTAATTTCCTGCTTTATTTATTTTTATCTAAATTTCAGAAAATTTCAATAATAACCCTAAAACAACTCTGCTTATAAAATTGCCAAAATATACAATGATAATTGTTGCTTTATTTAATAACAAGTACAAACAAACACTGAAGAAAAATTCAGAAATGAAGGCAGGCTTCATTTTCCTCCTCATGGCATTGAAAGGGGACAGCCACCTGAGAATGGTGGGAACTCTAGGTTAAGAGAATAATTCTATAAACTGGACCCACTGTGCTGACCCCCACATGCTTTCTTTTTCAAGAAGTAATTTACCTGCAGCTCTGCCTGGCTTAAGCGGACAGGCTACCTCACATTCCTCAGCAAACTACCTGTTATTGACAGAAGAAATGCAGACCAGAGATAATGTCTATAGTTTACTCTGAAGGAGGTGCCTTCTATGTGCCTTTTCACAGACTAGATCTCAAAACTCAAGGAGCTAATTATAATTCCTCTCAACCATAAAAATCTATAAAAATTTATGGTTAAGAATCCAATTAGAACCGTTAGCATGAGCCAAAGTGACCCAGAGTTGTCAAGGCAGTGGAAACTTGAAAGTCTGATGTTTGCCTTGCTGACCCACAGTCAAAAGTCAAAAGGTGGACTTGGGTGACCTGAGTGGGACTCTCTGGAAACTTTTCTGGGATCCCTAATAAAACTGGAGTGCAGGAGAGGCTTTCTCTCTCCCTCTCCGAGAGGACCCACTCTCTCCCTAGACAGGGTCCTTTCCCATTTCATACCCCTTCATTAAACTCATGCCTGTTACTCTGGGAAGCATATCTGAAATCTTTCTAACTTGATCACAAGAATTGGGATTTGAAGCGGGGGTCTTCACACTGCCTGTATTTCCCAGAAGGCCTCCATGGCATAACAGCATCACTACAAATTACTAAACTGTTGAGTTTTTTCAGTCAGTACATTCATCAAAGATGTTCTCAGTTAAACACTTTTCTTATAAAAATGCTTAGTATATGCTACTATATGCTAGCACTGAAGCAGGCACTGGAAACAATCCCTGCTCTTACATAGTTTTTGGTCTAGTCTTTAAACATCATCTTAGCACGGATCTGAGCTGTCTTCCTAGGGTACATATTTATATACAGATTTTTTTATTTACCTTCGATAATCACAACTTTCTCCTCCAATTCTATTATTCTAGAAGTAGAAGGATGGACTTTTATCTGCTGAATACCTTGACTAAGATTTGGGAGTCCCAATGAAAGGAAACTGAACTTCTCTCAATTATAAAAGTAATTTAAATTCTCAGGAAACACCCATAAGATGGGAGATGTGAGTCTAACACTGGATGGGAAAAATCCAAACAGTGAAGTGGGAACACTAGGTGGGAAAAAAAATCAAAATAGGAACCCAAGGTAACTGGGTAGCTAAAAAAGGATTTTAGAAAACATAAGTGGCTATATGGATACAGAACTTCTCACTCTACAATGAACATTATGGCCCAAGTTTAACCCAGACCTCAAGAAACATGAAAATTCCATTTGACATGTAAACCCCTTGAGGAGAGAGATTTTGTGTATCCTGTTCACTGCTGTGCATGTAAAACTATGAATAGAGTATGAAACAAGATACATTAGGACCCTATACTTATGAAGTTCACAACAAAAAAAAGAAGGAAAACTGAGACAGAAGATCTCAAGTTTGAGGACAGTCTCAGCAGCTTAGTGAGCCCATCTCAAAATTTTAAAAAGCCTATAGCTATGACTTAGTGATAGAGTAACCCATACCAAAAAAGGAAGACAAGTAGAAGGAAGAAGAGGAGCGGAAGGAAGAAGGAGAAGAAATCTCAGAGATAAAAAAAAAAGATCTCAGAGATTTAATAACTTGAATTAGGCCATAGAGATGGTGAGTAGTAAAGGCAAGATTCATACCAAAATCCAATTCAAACTAATCTCTTTATACAGTATCACAGCGCTAGGCAGGCAGATCCACAAAAAGCCATTTGTTCTTTTTATAGAGAAGACATGGCTACTATCCAGGCATGGCCATTCACACCAATGAAATGTGAGCAAAAGTAATGTATGGCACTTTCAAGGCAAAAAGTTTAAAGAACTGAGTGTACCTTTGCCTTTTGACAACTGGATGCAGATAAAAACAAAGCAAGAAGAGATGGTAAAACCATAAATTAGTAAGACCCTATGACCCTAAGTCACAATGTGCAGTAATATCAGCAATTGTTAAATAAGAAGAAATAACCTTTGTTGTGTACATTAAACGTGAGTTTATTTTTGTAGTAATTTTTGAAACAAAAAAATGTAATTAATATTCATGGTACAGTCTAAATTTTATTTTTATGTAGATCATTGGCTTATTAGCTGGCAGGTGGCATAAAAACAGGAAATATGAGCCGGAGAACAAGATGCAGAACCTTTCTGAGCCAAAGTTTCTTAATTTTGTTCCATACTGTCATTTCCCAAACTACCTGGTGTCAGTACCTCTTTGTATTTTAAAAAATTACTGAAGACTCCATGGTCTGGGGATGTAGTAGTAAAGTGTCCATGTAGCATGCAAAAAGCCCTGATTCAATTTTCAAAATAAATAAATAATAAAAATTGAAGACTCCAAAAATTTTTATTTATGTAAATTATGTCTATCAATATTTACTACTAGAAATTTAAAAAAGAAATTTTGAAATAATGATTAATTTAATAATAATGATTATTTAAATAATGTTAATTTAATGATTATTTTAAAATAATGAGTCCATCTCTAATTAACACAAAAATATTTTTATGAAAATAGCTATAAAAAGGAAAATAAATTTGATAAGAGAATAATACAGTTTTGCATATCTGCAAATCTCTTTCATGTCTGGTTTAGTAGAAGACAGCTGGATCCTTTTTTGGCTTCTGCATTCCATTTCTTAGATACAATGCTTTTGGTTGAAGAATAGGAAGAATATCAAACCTCACATAGATATGCTGTTAGAAAAATTTTTTTTAAAATTGTACTGGGAATTGCAGCAGAGACATTTTGACACTGACATATAACCCCAGCCTTTTTTATTTTTTTTATTTTGAGACAGAATCTCACTAAGTTGTTGAGGGCCTCACTAAATTACTGAGGTTGGCATGGAACTTGCAATTCTCCTGCCTCAGCCTCCTCAGTCACTGGGATTGCATGTGTCCCCCAATGCACCCAGCCACAAGTGATTGTTCTTAAAATATAGGTGAATTTGAATCTGGAAACACATCAATGAATATTTTATTCTCAGTTACATTAAAATCCATTGATTATCTTACACTATGAGTTGATCTTTTACTCACACATAATTTTGTAGCATCATGTACTAGTCATTTTGAAGATATTGGTTCACCAACTATTAAGATCTTCTTTTATTATACAGTATCAAAAAAATCACATTCATTAAGTTATCATTGATTTCTTTATGGGCCTGAGAATGCAGCTTGATGGCAGCCTGAGGCCCTGGGTTTGATCTCTGGCAATGCTAAAAGAAAAAAAAAAAAAAAGACAAAGTCTGTATGTATGAGATCATCAAGCTTGCAGTGGGGCACGAAGTCAGGACAGGGCCGCCACTGACCTACAATGGCGGCCACCCTAGGCTCTAGGCTTCTGGGTTGCTTGGAGGAAGAGCCCACCTAAAGACCAGTTACTGGCCCAGGAGTCCAATAGGGAACTAACAACAGGCACTTACAACCATCTGGCCAATCATAACCACACATATTTCCCTTAGGGGTTATATAAGTCTCCAGAACCACACCACTGCTGTAGACACTTCCACTTCTACTGTAACCTGCACTGAATAAACTGATCTCTGGACGACCTGGTGTGCCCCCTCACTTTCATAGAGTGGTTGGCATCTTTCACTTACTATAGACAACTAGGTTTTCTAAAATTCTGATTTTTACACAAAGTTTGAAATTTATCATTGGCAACAAATAATTTGTTTTCCTGGAAGTAAGGCTCATTTGCTCATTTTCAAGAAAAATATCTGCCAAATGCCCAAACTCGATTAACCACAGTCATTCTTTCATGCCAAAAAAAAAAAAAAAGAAATCTATGAAACCCTGTAGCTAGTTCAGATCATATCTCAGTCACTTAAGTTCTTTAGTTCTTTTCCTTGAGGCAACCACTTTACTTCAAAAGAAGCAGATATGCTTTATGGTATTTTATCAATCAAAATATTGAAATGACTTTTACTCAAGGTTTGATAGTTAAGAAAATTAATAAATTTTACTCTATCATGGAGGACATTCTTAGCCAGGGAATGCATGAAAGTGAAGAATAGAAAACTACAACAGTCTGGTGCCCCATCTTTGATTTGTGCTAAGGTGCTAACAATTTTAGCTGCTATATTAATTTTCCATTGCTGCATAACAAATTACTACAAACTTATTGGCTTAA